TGTGTGTGTGTGTATAATTTTTTTTTTTTTGAGACAAAAGCCTCAAGCTGTTGCCCTGGGTTGAGTGCCCTGGCATCACAGCTCACAGCAACCTCCAACTCCCGGGCTCAAGCGATTCTCCTGCCTCTGCCTCCCAAGTAGCTGGGACTACAGGTGCCTGCCACAACGCCTGGCTATTTTTTAGTTGCAGCCATCTTTGTTTTTTTTTGGTTGTTGTTGTTGTTTACAGGGGAAAGCGCGAACGCAGTCCCCTACTACCACAAATTATTATGCAGTCGAGTTTCCCACATTTGGGAAAATTGCAGGGGTCAGCACATCCGGAGTGCAATGGATACACTCGCCCTGGGAAAACCACCTTCGTGATCATAGTATCTCCCCTCCAGGTAAGTATGGTTGCAGCCATCTTTGATGTTTGGTGGGCCCAGGCTGGATTCAAACCCGCCAGCTCAGGTGTATGTGACTGGCACCTTAATCACTTTAGCCACAGGCGCCGAGCCTATTTTTTTTTTTTTTTTTTGAGACAGAGCCTCAAGCTGTCCCCCTGGGTAGAGTGCTGTGGCATCGCAGCTCACAACAACCTCCAACTCCTGGGCTCAAGCGAGTCTCCTGTCTCAGCTTACCAAGTAGCTAGGACCACAGGTGCCCGCCACAACACCTGGCTATTTTTTGGTTGCAGCCATCATTGTTTGGCCGGCCCGGGCTGGATTCAAATCCGCCACCTTAGGTGTATGTGGCTGGCGTCTTAGCCACTTGAGCCACAGGCGCTGAGCCCCTGTTTTTAAAACAATTAACCTGACCCTGTCACTCTCCTGCTCCAGACTCTCCAGTGGCTTCCTGTGGTGGACAACCAGTGATCTATGCTTCCTGGTATTAGCATCCTTACCCTCCCCTTGAATGTGGGCTAGACTAATTCTGATGACAGTGATACCACAGTTTCAGGTTCTTGGTCTCAGAGATTCGAAGAATGAATCCACAGACCACAGGATCAGTGGTAAGTCAGAATTTATTCACGGAAACAGAAGTTACAACTACAAAAAACCAACAGAGAGAACCCAGGAGGGGAACAAGCTCTCCTGCTCCCTCTTCCAGATCTGTCTTCAGGCTCTCTGCTCAGGGGGTTATATAATGGCAGGAGTTAGTTTTGCTGTAACTCAGTGTTGATTTTTTAGGGCCTGGGTCCTTGTCAGTTACAGTCAGCTGTCTTCAGAATTCTCATCAGGCCTTCGAAACTGACATGAAATTCACCAGCCAGAAGAGCTGGGTAGAGGAGACTGCAAGCCCCACCCCCCAATCCATGAAATTGACCAACCAAAAGTGCAAGGGAGGAGATGGCCCTTCCAGCAAACTTGTTCCTCCATAGCAGCAGCATCAACACCTGCAGGGCTAAGGGGGCAGGTTGTGGTGCCACCTTGTCCTGCATCAAGAGGAATGAGGCCAAAGTGATGTAATCCCACTTCTAAGATTAGGTGACTAAAAGACTATGGCTATCTTTGTAGGTACTCTCTCTCCCTCCCTCACTGGCTCAGTCTAAGGGAAGCCAGCTGCCACTAGTGAGATGGGGGAGACCTATGAGACAGGGGAACTGATGTCTCCAGCCAGCAGCCAAGAGGGACCTGAGACCTGACAACAACCTTATAAGTGAGCTTGAAAGTGGATTCTCGGCTTGGCGCCTATAGCTCAACCGGCTAAGGCGCCAGCCACGTACACCTAAGGTGGCGGGTTCGAATCCCCAGCCTGGACCCGCCAAACAACA